GGTTTTTTTTTGTGGGGAACAAGCAGCTCGGTCCCACGCAATGATGGGTTTGGAATCATCGTACTTTTTACTGTACTACCGTACCACCAGTACGTATGGCGCAATAGTAACTCGTTTGGAACAAAGTGATTTCTATCTCTCGGGTTGATGGGTTTCCTGAAGCACCCCTCGTTGTCTCGACTAGCATTACAACACAATCGGTTTTGGCGCGGCGTGGCGTAGTATTGTATTGCAAGACTAAAACTAGCTTCGTTGGTGCCTTCCTAAGAGTCGTTTCAAAAACCAAAACATGGATTCTCATTTGTTTGAATTTGGTCGTCTGAGGCGCAAACGATAGMAGCCAGCGAAYATCCTCGGAGTGGCTTTTTACTCGGAGTCGACACAAAATTTTTCGATGCGGTCCACAAAAGCAAATGTGCCCCATTGTAAAACSCKGTACGTGTCCTACGATACCCTTGGTATCTTACTGGAACCGTACAACCGGAATTCCCGCTCTCACATTCCGTAAGAAAAATTCAAAAAAAGCACCTACCGGTGCCTCGATAWAATCGATTCACAWTTGTAGTCGGAGGTTTCGATGATGTCGCCTTTCCTTTGTTTTCGTAACGGCATGTCGTTGTACTGGTRGTGCGTACCTATCGTACGAWCCTCTCATCCAGGTGGTGATTGCTCGGTGATGCGGTGCTATTTATTTACTTAGTCGACAATCACAAATCTTGCCTGCATGCCGTTGTTCCTTGGAGGAAAAACAGAGCAAGCGCAACAACACACCCTGAGTCTRTTTGATTCGTTTGAGGGGAAAGCTGTACTGATAGTCCCAAATGTCTTTGAAGAAAAGCATATGGTCAAACTCGAAACCGATGCCTCCGGAACTTATTCCAACACAACGCAAGACAACCATCTATTCCAAAAACAATACACACACCGATTGCTGATTTTCACATAATATCATAGCAACGGAACGCAGTCCTCTTTTCTTTCTGCGCATGGGGGTGACGAATATGAACAAGAACATCAATCTACATTCCAATATGAATTCAAACGCAAACGCAATAGCTCGATCCCCGATCTCCGCGGTCGACGCAGGCTACGTGGTGGCACGGCCGCCACTGCTTCGAGAGCTGCCGTCGGTGCCGAACCCAGCAGACGGAAACCAAACCGAAGTGGGAGGCGACGATGAGTATGCCTTTTAYGATCTCTACCAGAGTCCCTGCCGGGGCGTCCTGCGAGCAAGCAACGACGAGCTTCTGGACTTTGTCGACCTGGGGGAAATGAACGACGACGCCGAGCGGAACCACATAACGAGCTACGGCAGCAAAACCGGCAAGACCGGCATCGGCGCCACCGAAGCCGCGCTGCTGTACCAGAACTACGGCTACTACTACGACGACCTGGAATACTGCGGCGCSACCTTTTACGGGGGCTGCGACTTTGGGGACCGAGACGAGCTGGCAACCCGCATCCGGCGAGAAGAAGAAGCCCTCGGCAACGGTGGCGGTGGGGGGGAACCGTTTGGCGGAACCCTTCCTTCTTTTGTGAACTGGACGGTGGTGTACGATTACGAAATCCACTACACCGGGCGCGGCACCGGCAGCACCAACAGAGCACCGCAAACCGCTTGGTTCTATTCCAACGAAACCAGAGCCGGCGTTGTGTCGCAAGACCGCCAAAAGGCCCGATCCAGCGAGCTGTTGCGGGAACAGCACCCGCAGCAACAACAACAACAACAACAACAACAACAAGCGGAAGAAATCCGAGGCAGGGACCCGATTCCGGCCGTAGAACACCTGGAAACGATCGTCCTGGAGCACCTGAGCGAGGTCGTCGGCCTCTCCCGGCGGGGCTGCGGAAGCGAAGATCCAGCGCAAAACCGAACCAAAACCTCCTACCACCACGATTTYACAGACGACGAACTCAAGCGWATGATGGCGATATCCAGTAACCCGATGGACGTCCTCGATCCGGACCACGGTGAGTCTGCTTGTTTKGCGTACAGCGCCAATTGGCACAGTTGAATAAMGATGCAGGCRTGTGTTTCTGTGGTTGTTGCATCTCATTCTTCGTTGGATTGTTGTGACTGTCTCTTCTCCMACAGCCGAGTGCACGGTCCCGGTGGCTTCGACCATAGGCCAGAAGACCGATTGCGTGCCCGTATCGGGTGCGATTCGCATCTATCTGAACACCACAGACATTCCCAGYCACTCCCTCGAGGACCTCAAGCTGTCCATCCAGAGCGGATTCCAGAGGCTGATTCGGTTCGGGATGCAGCACGGGTTGTATCTTTCGGATGACAGCGAAGACGAYGACAGACACGGAGACGGGGTAGTTGTCAGYCACGTATCTTTCATAGGAACACGGATTCCAGCCARCAACAATGAAAGTGGCGAAGTGGCGCCGGCAGCAGAGACCAAAGCCGAAAACTCTAGGCCACAGTCGACTTCGTCGTTGTTTATGGACCAGTCGGAAGACCTGGCCAACGGCGACAAGAGCACCACCAACGCTGTCCTCGTCGTCGTAGCTTCCCTGGGGGTCATTTTCGCGGCCATCATTGCTGCATTCGGAAGCGGACGGCGAAAAAGGAACAACGGCTTTGGCCCTRTAGACGCCGGTCGCGATGGGGTCGACGAAGAAACGGGCTTGGTGGCAACCGCCGGGGAAGCAGTGCCGCCCGTGCTCGCCGGAATGGACCTTCTGGCGGACAATGCCGAGATTGCTTCGGTCTCGGGAGGGTTCGTCAAGAACGGGACGCCGTCAATCTCGTCCGATGCAACGGTTGCGGACGCAGAGGTCTACGATGACAATGAGGACGACGATGACGATGGACCCTTTTTTTCCACGGAACCAAAGGCGGTGCTGTATACCATGAATTGAACGGACTGGTGAAGGAACTACCGCTGCTTCAGTACCGATGACAACCAAAAGCTTTGTCGGAAAATTATGTTGTCCTCGGTTTGATTGTTTCCTTAAAAGGAGTAAGAATAAGAATGCAATAGAGAGGATACATATCGAACAAAATTTGTTTTGTGCTACGTGTTTCATCAAAGAGATAAGATCTTGCAACAAAAAAKTTACCGGTAGAAGAGTTCCCAGTTTTAGATTATCTATGTGAAACTGGTTCKTGTATCATCCTCCAAGAAATACCATACCAACTACGATTGTTCTGCATTACCCGACTTGTTCAACCATTCGCTGCTGTAGTAATAGACTTTCGTCCATCGGCACCGTTCCAGCAATGATTCATGCTTTAACACTTCCTTGCATCCATAGCGAAARCCCTTTTTCGGTTCCTGAAKTGYAGYAAARTGGYTGTACCAGATTCGATGGAAACSYTTCCACATACCCATCCCTATACAATGAAGATAAGGAGCCACCGTCACTTTGTTTTCTTKGAATTCACCATCCACTCTTCGCATACATWATTTAAATTTTCAGAGAGTGACTCCCGAAGAAAGATTTCCCAGGTCGCATGCTTCTTTAGCCTCTCTCTTTGTCGCCTGTATTTCTACTCAACCCCCGCGTTGGTATGGTGCACCGGTACTACTTTTGGTCCCAACCGAACACGATCAAAGACAACGCTKCAGTCCTTGTTTTCGATCGGGCAGATCGCAAACAGGCCCATTCCCCAGGGTTTGTTGCCGCTGCGCAGCGARGCAATGCGGATTTGCGTCCACTTGAGCGCGGCGGAGGAAKTSYTATCACCCGACGCMTTTCCMACCTCGAATACCAGGCAGGGTCCTTGTGCGCTTCCCGGACGATTCAGCTTGCTGAGGCGGACGTGGACCGAGACGGAAGATCCCCCGGTGCYCTCCTTGCTTCCAATTTCTTGGGTGCTCCAGTCCGAAAAMCCCTCGTTCGTCACAACGCAGGACAATCGCGGGATTCCGTCGGTGTACTCGACCCCCGCCTTGACCCAAGTGTCTTCGTCGACAAGCACCATGATCCCCCCCTGGTCGAACTGGGAACGTGGCTCGAGCGTGAACGACGTGGCAATGGTAGCCTCGTCTCCGGCTTCGATCCATGCCAGAAAGGTCTCCGCGTCCGTCTTGACCAACAACGGATCGTAAAAGGTTCGGCACCAGTAGTCTTTGTTCGGGGTGGGGCGGACCGTTAGCTTCCCATCCGCGATGCTGTGGTCCGGGACGCCGTTGTGCCATTGCCAACGTCGATCCCTGAAGTTATCAATCTCGTCGCCTATCACGCCTGATTTCGTCTCTGCCRCGGACATCTTGTGGATCTTGGTCCCTTTTCGACCAAAGTGATAGGTGGTGTTCACTCTGGGTGTTTTCCGAAAGATAGGAACGAATTGAAAAGTATTGATTCGAMTTATTTTTCAGATTCTATCGTTTCGATTTTGACAGAAAGCCAGATGTGAAGGGCGAATTTGGATTTTTTCTAGCTGCTTTAAAAGATTAAAAGAAAAAAGGTGAAAGATTGATTCATTCGAATCAAACTTTCCTCGTACGGTACGGACGTGCTCAATTACTGTAAAGTGTCGTACGTACTTGCTACTTCAATATTAATTCTACCGGTCGGTCCGTACAGTAAAATACTACGAATTTACGCGTAGAAGTACTGTTGTGAGGCTAAATCCCGAGTAGCTAGTGAATAACTCACTCCTCTATTGTAAACCACGTATTAACACGCAGTAAGGAGCCTATTAACATTCGCAGGTTATGAGCCCAACCACGAACTACTGATTCCCCAAACAACACCAACACCAATCTTAGCTGACAACCACGGAGCTGTTAGAATGGCAAATGCGCACCAACCAACACGTAGAACTAGACATGTGGAAATGAAACACTTTGTAATCCTCCAATGGACTGATGATGAACATATCAACTTTATTGAAACAAAATCTGATGAAAATTACAGGCAGTGACTCACTGAGCAAACCGACTGGTAGAACCAAGTTCTTACAACACACGGATATATTCATGGGACGCCTTAAACCAAACTATGCGTCCACACGCCGTGCCAGCACTCAACAACAGTCATTTGATACAGTTAACACCTCCATCCCCCACAGTACAGAACCTACGGTACTGTGCTCCACTTGCAATCTAAATCCTCTCAAAGATCTTATCCTCCAAACCTCGTATCACAGGACGATCCGCGACTCATTGGATTCGAAGACTTTAGATTCAAATGATCCTAAGACCCTGGATTCAAATGATCATGAGACCCTCGACTCCCTCGACCCTCACAAAATAGACTCATTCAAGTCTTTAGATGGTGCAAGTGCGGGGAGGTGTGAGGCTAAATCCCGAGTAGCTAGTGAATAACTCACTCCTCTATTGTAAACCACGTATTAACACGCAGTAAGGAGCCTATTAACATTCGCAACTGTACTATCGTTATATCGTACAATCGTTTCGCGTCATTTTTTTTCGAGATTTTGATTTGGCCTCTAATGGCTCGAATTTTGCATGTATTTAAGAAAAAGAATCCTTCTTTTCAAAACTAAGATCACAATTCAGGCCTAATACCGTAGTTGACCAAACGGAAATCCGTACTTGGCGCGTGTTGGATAGGGTAGTGTTTCATAATGTTCTACACTGCGAAATGACAAAAGCAATGGAGATGCAACAACCCATCGAGAACACCGAAGAAGAAGAACCTAGCAGATGTGCTAGAATGGGAAATGGGAACGACGAAGAACGCGCTGCCAAGAAAACCAAGGCAATTACGATTCTCCGTCAAGAGGATGGGACATACCCGGCTTCCATTCACGATGTAATTGATGAGTACGTGACGTTTGAATTGGCGTGGCTGAACAAAGTCTACACCGAGTTTCGAGGAGATTTTGACGACTGGCTCGCGACGAAAGGCTTCAAAACAGAASCAATACGCGGGGAACAAAATAACGACGACCGACTTGCAAACAAACAAAAGCTCGTCTGGATTCTACTAAACGAGAACGGGGAACTCTACAACCCTTGCTGCATCGATGGATTTCTTCGCGATTTCCTGGGCGTTCTCAAGAAGACGGCCCACAACATTCTGACACAGGTGCGCGAATACGAAGACGATCCACACAACGATCGTGCCTTTACCAAGGTTCGAGATACTAAGAAGCAAATCGAAAACATCGTCAGGCTTTTCCCGGAAAACCTTTCGAAACGGAAAGAGCCTCTTTGGATGGACGAGTTCGAAGAACAGGACGAGTCCATTGGGATGTATCCGATACAGATCCAAACCATCCATGGATACAGGGACCGCCGTTCGGGYCGCCGCTGCACGGGACCGGGAGCCGCCAAATTCATTCCGCTGCTGGCGCGGTTGGCCATCGAGTTTGGCCAGTTCGAGGACGGCCTCCGGGGCGGCTTGCTGCTGGAAGACAAGARCAAACAGAACGTGTTGCAAAGGCTTGCCTCAACGCGCAAGGTGAAAGAATTCAAATCGAGCCAATACGAATGCATCGACGCCAAGTACACCAAGGTGTTGACAAAATTGAGAAGCTCGAGGCTTCTGCATAAGGAGGACATTGCCAAGTACAATCTTTTGAGAAGGGTGTGCAAATCGRMWCACCATTTTTCTGAAAAACGATTCGCCTTTCTGTCKGATTGGGATCCCGAGAGATTGGTGCACACCGATTGGCCCCGCGTAACACCTCTCCACATCGTCGCGACTAMCGGGAGCGATCGAGCCTTTCGGRTGGTGTTTGAAGCKGGAATCCGTCATTTTCCATCRAAGGAAGGAATTCTTGTCTTGTTTCAGAAGGATTGGTGGGGGAAGACGCCCTTTGCRAGTGCCAAGAAACAGCAGGGAGACTCAGTATCATTCATARARGAAATTATGGCTAAATATTCCGATAAGTCCCGGAATCTTTCCGATCTGATGCTCTCAGCAGTTTTGAACAATTCGATCAGCTTGGATGGCGTATACTTTCTCTTGMGGAGACAGCCAGACATGCTGAAGAAGATGCTCTCGGTAGCAGTTGTAGAAGGCGATGAGAGTAAATWTGAAAGTATAAATGAAGAAAGCAAGAGGGCGGCCCGTGCTGGTACGTGTGGTTACAATGCGAAAGGAACCGAAAGGTGTCGTACGCACGGAAAAGTAAAGCAAAGTTCAAGAAAGAAAAGGAAGAAGAGTCACGGGGAAATGTTGGGTCTTTGAATGGTTGTTTCGTGGACTTTTCATTTCGGCATTTGTGTAAATTCATGTAATAAAAAATATGTGTGTGTCATTCACAGTAGGAAACAAATAACGGAAAGCGATCAACGTGTGCAATATGTCACCTGGAGAATATCTATTAGGATTGTTAAAGCCCAATTCAAACTCTTATATCACAGTGATGCTCGTAAGAGTGCCCTAGGTTGTGTGCTTTCACTTGCAGCCGTTAACATGACATTTAGAATCACAGTCTCYTCGCTCTTGCCATTGCAGCGGTGTTCGCAAATTTTCATGGCAGGCAATGTAACAAACGTAAAGAGATGTGGATCACTATTGCGAGTATGCCATTATTTTTTGCACTAAACAAAATGCAAGTTTAGGTGTGTTTCTGCTATCTTGATGTAATCAAGAGCAGTTCCTAATCACCATCATTCTCATTGGCTTTCTCGTGACAGTGCGATCGATAATAGGCTCGCTTTGAGTAGGTGTGCATTGAGAACRCCAATTTGAGATATTGAACAAAAATTATAGTCGCCGTTCTTAAATGATACAGTGGTTTATTGWATTAGCACAATTCAACATTATCGTTTCAARTTGTTYAACCTCGCCTCGAGCTCGCTCAGTTGTGGATCCATGTCACCACCACCCCCCGAGGCCGACATAGCGACCTTGCCCGGCGAGGCCGCTTCCGAAACTCCAACGGGAGCCGTAGGAGCCGCGCTGGGTAGATCTTCTCCAAAGGAAATTCCGATTTCGTCCAGGACCTGATTGACAACCGCWTCTTCCTCCTCCTCGTTTTCTTCTCCGCCGAGGGCATCGTCAATYGTGTCGCCCATTATTTCCTGCATAATTTCTGTCTTGGCGTTTTCTCGCTCGAAATCCTGCATCATCTTRTTGATGGCCGGAACATCGACGGCCTTGTTCATTTTGTGCATGGCCTTTGCGGTGGACTTCATGGCATCTGCCATGGCGTGGTGGGATTTGACCGTTTGCAACTTGAGGGCACATCCCTGCAGATGGCTACGCATTTCAATGAATTTGGTAATGTATTGTCGCGTCCGCACAAGGTCCTATAATAGTCCCAATGCCGGAAGAAAAAATCGAGATTTCAATTATCAGGCAGTTGCATCGTCCAAATGGATCGACATCGAGTCGGYCGTSAAGAGCATTCGTTCAAAGGTATTTCAAACAGCAAGAATTGGAATAAGATATGCAATGTTGAACAACTGTGATCATGGTGGGCAACGACTCAGACCTAAACACAAAAGGCAGTCACTCTCTGCCGGTATGCGTCACCCTCGCGCGACAAACACAACAGTGATTGTACCTATTTTCAGTATGACTCCTCCAATGACACCTATCGAAACTCGATAGCAAACAACACTAACCTTAGCCATAATGTTTACTGGTCCCATTTGACCCTCTTTTGCGGCCTTCTTGATTTCGAGGGTGAGTCTCTTTTCTTCTCGTTCCAAACCATTCTTTTCTCGATCCAGTTCTCGGATTGCCCGATTAATCATTCGCTTATTCTCTCGGAGGACCTCCTTCAGTGGTTTTTCTTTCCCCAGTATGTTTCCCATGGTGAGCTAATGAATAATAGCGTTGAATTTAAAWGGTTTTGAAAGACAGCGGTCTTATTGGTCAACCTTGTTGTTAATTGCTTTCGTGGTGCCTTCCGTTTTTGTTATYGTAAGTTTTTGGTTTGGTTGTTGCTTTCTTAGTGCCGTTGCGTAGAATTTTCACTCCAGTTTGTGTTGTTTGAGTCTTGGTTCTGTCACCGGCATCGATTTAAATTTTAGGGGCAAAATGGAAGGGGATATCATGGAAGTCGAAAGACTAGAATAGTTTTTTCGACTGCAATAGTCAATGAAAATCCGGAATCTGATGGGGGGAAACACTAAAAATCCAAAAATCCTGTATGAAGTTTTTTTAGCATAGACCATAGTATGAAATGAATGGCTGCTATTTAAATCTATAAATGGTTTTTACAGAGAAATATAGATTGCCAATAGTTGCTGTTTCTTTGAAAAATAGCAGCAGTTTACTAGTTGCTTGCTGATACATCATGATCCTCCTCCTCCTCGTCGTCCGTACACTACTACTAGTATTCTTTCTTTATTAGTAGTAACAAGATGACATTTTGACTTCCACTTGAATTGCACCACAAATGACCTAATCCAATAAATGAACAAAAGCAACCCTCTCTTTGTCATACAAACCGATATAACGGTGTTTTCAGTTTCCTGCATGGACCAACAAACAAAATCACGTGTGTATTTCTCAATGCTCCAAAACTCACGACCCTTTCCCCTGGAACATGTGCATTCTTACACCCTATGTTTCTCAGCACCAACTTCACACTCCTTTCTGGGGTTCAAACAGTTTTCATCCTTGTCACTTTTTTCTCCTCACTTCACCAAGAATAACATTGCACAGGTATAATTCTGATACAAGCTCAAAGTGTCAAAGCCAATAATCTGATTCCCTTGTGCCGTTGCCAACATTATCCCATTGACAAAGAAACTAGAATACTATGGAGATGTAAAAAATTCTGCTTGGACCCTTCCTTTTTCTTATTTTCACAGTTTCTAATTTTCTCTGACATGCAATGATTCATGATTCTCTCTAATGTTCAACATACTCGCGATGTCTCATTCATATTATTCTACTATCTCCATTGTTTGTCTGGTGCTGTTGTTTGTCATATAATAATATTTTAGAAATTTCAAAAATTATACTGCCAGACCTACCAACTCCTCAACATGTTTGAAGATACTTGTGACCCACACTTCTCTGACATTGAACTTCATTTGCTCTCCTTGCAGGAGTTTTCTTCTTTTGTTTTCTCTTTCCTCTCTGTCTTCACCCATGGTTTCCTGATAGTCAGCCATCAGTGCCATCTCCATGGTTCTTGTTTTATCATTTCCCTGTCCTAATCATTTTGAAAATTCAACTGAGCATAACAGTACTAGTGGTGCCTCCTCATATTTTTCAAGATTCCATTGCATGATGCAAAGTTGTTGACAACTTGCCAGAATGACAGTATCCATATTATTCATTTTCTCGTGCCAGCTGACTTTGTTGGGATTGGAATATTAGTGTCTTGTCTTTGAGGATTCCTAAATATTCCCACCACTGGAACCTTGGCCAACTGTGTTGCAGAATGGTTTGGCATATGCKGTGTTACTCCAGAAGAATACTCCAAGAATTGCTGTCTCTATCTGGMAAAACACTACTATCAGCAGACAAACATCAGTTGGCATCATCTTTTTATGGACAACATTTCCCAACATTGAATCTCAGATCTAGATCTCAATTCATGCTCCTACTATTAGTAGTAGTTTGATTTTGGAATCACCAATCATGACAATGACTCCTCATTGGTACTATNGGGGATATCATGGAAGTCGAAAGACTAGAATAGTTTTTTCGACTGCAATAGTCAATGAAAATCCGGAATCTGATGGGGGGAAACACTAAAAATCCTGTATGAAGTTCTTTTAGCATAGACCATAGTATGAAATGAATGGCTGCATTTTAAATCTATAAATGGTTTTTACAGAGAAATATAGATTGCCAATAGTTGCTGTTTCTTTAAAAAATAGCAGCAGTTTAGTTGCTTCTTGCTGATACATCCGTCCGTTAACTGTTTTTCGACCTTGTTTTTTCATGTACGTTTTTGCTGGTAGGATAATTTTCGTTTCGACTCACAAGTTAAATTTGTTGTGACATGTTGCTTTTTGTCATAAGACTGATGTAAACAGCAATGAAACGTTCCTTGGATTGTAAAGATGACCATATATGGATAGAGAGAAGGGGTAATCTTTCTAGTATCAAGAAAAACGTTAGGTTCTTTTGTCTCTTTTGCAGGTAAAACTTCAAGGGCAAAGGTTTCAAAGGCACGATCCAGGAAGATCAAAGAAGGGTAGGCRAACAAAGAAAGAAGTACATTTGTTCGGGGTTGACGAAGCATGTTCTAGCCCCAAACAACACAAAATGTAAGCAATTTTACTTAATGTCGAAACTATTGACATATCATGCTGGAGGGAAAGAAACATTAAACTTTTCTACATCGATACAGCCATCAGCTGACGGAAGACACACCAGCAGTAGCCAGGTTACAGCAAAAAACTATACACCGGCTCATTTTGGACTTACCATGACAAGAAATGGGCCATGTTCAGAATTAAGGGCAACRGACATTGGTGATAGCCCTATGGTGGTTCCTGGAACTAAAGCTTTTGAAAAGCAGGTGGTCCACAATTTGCTGGAGCCTAGAATTAGTAGAGGAGTGATTGTTTCCACGTTAACCTCCCAACGAGAGGAYGATAGAAYGACATCGTCAATTGCTGAAGTACATGATGAGGAAGTTGGTGGGGGCGAGGAAGAAGAACATTTCGACCTAACTGGTGGTGGCCCAGATGGAGAAATGGATGAAGAAGTACACAATAGTAGTAACGACACCACCATACTGGGGGGAGAGGAGGAGAGACAACATGATGTGGACAACAGCATAAATGATAGGGAAACAAAAATGCTCCRTAGAATTAAAGTACGTCCCTCAGCAGAGCTTCTGGTGGAAACTGAGTTGCTCAACATACAGACGAAGCATAAACTTGCAATGCTGTGCGTTCCCGCCATTATGAATTGGGCAAGGAGAGCAACAAAAGTTCATAAAGTTGAKTTTTCCGAAATAAGGACACGTYGGAGAGACACTGTGATCAATGATCTTGCTGAAAAGCTGGGGATGGATGACATGAAACACCACACCTTCCAACAAACACATATTGATTGGTTGCYAAGTCCTTTTCAACAGCAAGTGCAGATTCGAAGTTTTCAACAGGCTTTGCACAGCCTCTTGACCAACAAGGATTTAATGAGGGAAGGTAACCTATCCTTTYCCCACAGCACGGATCCCACGTCTCCTGAACATTTTCCGCCATTGACAGAAAATTCGGTAATCACTGAATTGCATCACGGAAGCTGGTGGACGGAATCTTGGAAAGCAGAAAAATTTGACCAGGAAAAGGGTCAAATTTTGGTGCCRGTCATACTGTACATGGATGGTATTTCTCTGGACAATAGAGAGAACCTAACGTTATGCCCTCTGAATATGACACTTGGTATATTCAATGYGGAGACAAGAAAGCAACCCAATGCTTGGAMAACGATAYATTTCCACCCCCAAGGAGCCAAAACAGGACRGAAAGCTTCRCCAATAGAAAACRTAAAAAATCTTCACAACGGAATCAAGAGAGCTATGGCCTCTTTCAGAGATCTAACAGAAAGCCAGAAATGGGTACAATGGGACTACCTCAAATAYGGTGRAAAAAATTGGAAAGTTCTGATGAAATTTGCAATTGCGTATGTGATTGGCGATACCGAACAGCATGACAAGCTATGTGGTAGRTACGGCTCCTATAGTGAAGGAACAAAAAGAATATGCCGACATTGTAATTGTCCAACRGATGGGATAACGGATCCTAATGTGGTCCTGAACAAGAACAGAGGACCAGATGCCTTTAAGGTCAGCCTTTGGACACCAGACAGCTTCTGTCCTTTGGTAGGAGAAAACAAGGAGGAATTTTGGAAGAATGTTTCTCATCATAACATTGAAAATGCTTTTCACGAACTGAACTTYGGAAGCAACGTCCACAACATTCACTTTGCCACTCCCGGTGAAAATTTGCACATGCATCAATTGGGAGTTGCCAAAAGGTGCATAGAGTCGTTTAAAGAATTGGTAGAGGGGACAACAGAGTGCCCCTATGCTCCTGGTTGGAAACCTTCACCTACAATTGGTAGGAAGGTAGGTGTCCTTGCACAACAGTACGGGGCTTTRTTGAGCAGACAGTCAGATAGATTKTTTCCAAGGACAAAGTTTGGACAGCAAATTCTTCATGCAACAAAAAAGGAAGGACATGATTTTGCTGGTATGCTGATTTGTATTCTCTTGGCTATATGTTCAAAGAGAGGTAGAGACATTGTGGGCAGCACACAATTTATAAACAGGCAGGTGAAGCTTATTGAAATTGTTCTGTCGATGGAGGAATTCTTGAAACATGGAAAAATCACCGTAAAGCAAAGAAACGGTCTTCAAAAAGTKGTTGAACACTYTATCAATACCATCAACAGTACATGCCTAAGGTCAGGAATGGGAACAAAACTCATCAAAAACCACTTGTATTTTCACTTGCAGAAGTACATTGAATTGTGGGGTGCACCAAATGGTTGGGATTCAGYACCAAGTGAGGCTCACCACAAAACAGAAATAAAAGCACCTTCAAAGAACACCCAATGCAACGCATCTACCCTAGTGGAACAAACAGCCAAAAGACAGTCAGAACTCATGGTATTGGAAACTGCTTCTCGTAACTTTGCACTACAAAAGCCACAGAATAGGGAATGCACAATGGTCCAAGGAAGAGACCACCGAGCTGGTTCGAAGTTTAAAATAATGAAGGGAAGTGACGGAAGACCAACAATGAAATGGGAAAGGRGAGGAAYGAGGCCCTTCTTCCCAGATGCCATACTAGACTATTGCTGCAAACGGGTACTGCCATTTCTGAGAGATAAAAGAGAAGTGAGCGGTTTTACCGACCACCACAGCAACTATGATGGTGAATATCATCTGTTCCGGTCAAATCCGTCCTTCCGAACTGACAGTGGGCAGGGGAATGGTACATGGATGGATTKGGCYGTCTTCAACTGTGACGAAAAA